TTATGGCCACTTTACCCTTTGTGTCATGGGACCAAGCACAACCCATAAAATACTAGTATTTGAGTGGCAGGGGATGTTCTAAATCATCCTACTCCCACTGCCTTATGCCTCTCAGCCTAGCAGAGTGTTGGGTGCCCTTCGACACATCCACGACATCCATTTTCGAATGCACTTATTCACTCATTCATCCAATAAGCACCTGGGGTCACCCACGAAGGGGCTCTCCTGACACTGCCCGTTTGTGGTGCTGCCCGACGATGAAGAGGCGCACATGGATATGGATGGATAGATTTCCCATATGATACACAGACGAATGAGTGGGTGGATGTATGGGCGGATGAATTGTGTTCGGATGGGGGGGGGGTTTGAAGGATTGCATGGCACTGCTGGAACCATAGCTCCTGGGCTCTGCACTAACATTCGCACACTTGTGAATCTCTGCTTCTTCATCTTCTCCTACTTCATCTTGTTTCTCTTTTACCCCCATCTTTATTTCTGTTTAATTTCCTTTCATTACTGATGCAATTTGGACATACTGAGTGAGTAATCCTCATTTTCTCTCTGGTGCTCTCTGTGCTCCTCTGTGTGTCTGTGCTCCCATCATTATTCCTGGTCTTTGATTTGGTTCTGTCATCCAAGGTTGGCAACCAACCTGCATGCAAGCCAAGGACAAGCAGACAAAGCCTCTATCTCTACCTGTACCACCTCCCAGATGCTTTGGCACCAAGCCTACTCTGAGAGTGAGTGAGATAGTGAGTGTGTGTGAGTGTGTGTGTTTCTGCTTGGCAAGGTGGATTGAGTATACTCACTTCTGCATCAAAACCTGGCTTTGCATGATGTCTCTGTGTTTGGTGTTTCCCTTGTATCCCATCAATCTTAAGTCCACTGTGGTAATTTGACTTAAAAGAAAAATGGAATCTTACCATGTTCATATTAGACATTGTCACAATTATGTATGTATGTTTGTATGTATTTGTGAATATATATGTGTACGTATGTATGTACATATCTGTGTGTGTATGTGTGTGCATTTTCATGGCAGAGTAAATGAAATCACAATGATCTTTATTGATATATCATGTTAAATGGTCATTGATGTTCCAAAATCTCCAACCCAATTCACAATTACAGGGTTGTACAATCTGCCATGTTCTTCCATATTTTAGGCCTTGACAAAAGAAACTAAACTTTACATTAGCCAAATGAGAGTAACTCTAAGGAATCATCCTAGTTCTAGCCCCCCCCCCCCTTTACAAAAATCAAAGTCAGGAGCTAAATTGAAGAAAGTGGGGCCAATTGTGGAGGCAAAGCTTTGCCAGAACCACACCCAATGTAGGGAGGTACTTTCCCTTGTTGGAAAAGCAAATGCAAAAGTACTCTCACTTGAGTATTGCCTCGATTGGCTCTAATGACCAAATGGGGAAAGCCTAAGGTCAAAGGATGCCCAACCTCACTCAAATTCCATCCACTGATGTGGGAACCTGAAGAGAAATAAATTAGAAAAAAATATTAAAAAAAAAAAAAAAAAAACTTTGGAAAAAAAATAGAAACTAGCCAGAATTCCCCTCCAAAACTTGTGGTTATCTCTTGAATGGTTGCCATTAGCCATGTTTTTGCACATCTTGTTGCCTGAGAGTTTCTAAATGTCCGTAAAACCTAAATTTGAGCCTAGTACAATTATGGGCTCCACTGGAGTTGCCAAATTCCGCTACAAAAATATGCCCTTTCCCCTTTCAGAAGATTGGCTCATGTTTGAGGAGAATTTAATTATCTACATGAACTTCAAGAAAACATGTCACAATATTATGTTTGAAAAATAGCAAATATTTGTGAGGATCCCACAACTTCACATTTCAACACTTGAACAAAATCCTCTTTTTTTTTTCTTTTTTTTTTTTCTTTTTTTTTTCAATTTCACAGAATGCCTTGAAGTTTTAAGATATTGCACCCAAGGGCAGGTGGAACATTAATCCCAGTTTTGTCTGTTTCTTTTTTTGTTGTTGTGGCCTCACAAATATGAGAACTAGGTACATTGCTTTACTTGAAAAAAGTCTGTTACATAGCAGCATCAGGTGGCTATGGTGGCTAGGGTTCTGGGGTCAAAACAATCAGCATAAACATGACAATGATGTCCCCTTGCATTCTTATTCTGTAAGTCTCTATTAAAATTTCCTAGTTCGATGTTGACATAAAATATTATTCTGGTTCTTGGTGTTGTAAAAGCAATGGTAGATCAAGATATCCAACTCTGTCATCACACCCCCCCCCCTCCCCATTTATTTTTCTTTTTATTTAAAGCAATGCCATTGAGATGCCAACCCCCTTTACGAGGCACCATGAATGTCACATTCAAAGTGAATCCCCAGAAGTTCAAATCCACCCTCTTGTTTCAAAAACATTGGGAATGTGGTTGCAAGAGAGCCCAAAATTGAGAAGCCAGGAGCAGATTGATAAAAATCTGGGGTCTTATTGAAGAAAAGCCCCAGATCCAGGTATCTGAGGAGACCAACCAAAGGCAATGAAAGGGGGTTTGAACCCTGATGGCAATTGGCCAGGTGTTTGGGAGTAGGTTCCATTCACACTGACATAATCTGGAGCTCTTCCTCTGGACATGTGAAGCTTCTGCTGTGGACCATCATTAGGGTGACAATTGGCTGCCATGAGCTTGCCCTCTTTCTCTTCTCCCCCTCAATTAGAGTTTTGCACATCCATCCCAGTTTACCACAAAACCATCATTTATTTTTAGATTTTTTGGAAAATTTAATGCTTGTTCAGAATTCTCCTGCCAGCATGCCATGTGTTGATAGAGCAAGACCCAATTCACACCTGTTTTTTCAAATTTCTCATGTGCCCATTCACAATGTTGTGATGATTGAGTTTGTGGTAAGCAACTTTGACAATTACAAGTCAAAAATGTGTCATTCAGTTTCATTTATTCATGTCACTCCAGAAGGTTTGTTTTGTTTTGTTTTGTTTTTGTCTTTCTACAGCTCTGTCCACATAAGATAATTTTGTAAGAAAAATCATGGCTGCATCATATTTCATGCAGACTCAGTTTGGAGTCACTGAGCCCATTCCTCTGATGGAGGGATCATGAGCAGCTGTGTGTTGGTATTGGCCAAGACAACTAGTTTTGTGGTCTGCTTGAATATGTAGAGTTGCAGACACTTTAAATTCTTTTGAGGATACCATCCATTGTGATCAGCTATGAAAAAATGCATCTTTTTACAGGGACTTGAATGTTGTATGTGGTCTCAAAAATAATATCTCTTTTTTAAACTAAAGATAGCCACTTCAGATGTTGGACATGGAGCCTCTCGGAAATGGTTTCTTCAACTGATCAATTTCACTGCTCAGCATGAAAGCAATCATCAAAAGACAATGGAACTTGTTAAACTGTCAAAGAGCTTGTTCTTGGAGGGGGTGTTTGGCAACAGGTTAATCATCTTTCTGAATCTCAAGTCCAAGCTCCCCCCAAATATCCACAAATGGTACCCTCCATCCTCCTAACTCAGAGGAAGCTATTTTCTGCATCCAAGCTGTCATGGTGTGATTCACACACTAGAGTGATTGCTAATCTCCTATACTTTTGGTGTAAAATGAAAATGAAAAAAGAAGAAGACAGAAATTAGATACAATGAACCAGACTGTATGATTGGATACGATGTGTTCATATCAAGATTAAATCTGCAGATATGTGGAGGTGCCATATAGCAAACTGCAAATTTATTGTCAAGAGAAACATAGTTCTTTTCTCTTTTTCCTTTGTTTTATAAACACAAGGCATTATTAAATACTTATTGATAGAAAAAATCTGCACAATACATCTTTGTTAGCTTTTGTATAGATAGCTTGTACAGTACTTGTAATGACCCTAGGTTTTGTCATGCTAATCCACCAATATCAACAATAAGTGTTGTCCATATGACATACCCAATACTTGGGGAGATTCGTTCATTACCTAAAGTGATAGAAAGAGGGATAGAGATAGATAGATAGAGAGAGAGAGAGAGAGAGAGAGAGAAGCAGTGTCTGGGTCCAAGAGACAGGCTTCACTGCTTGCTATAGCATTTTGACCAAAGCTGTTGTGGGATGAAAGCAATGAATCTATTACTATCCTTCAAAGACCCACAGTCAACCCTATCAGCAGCTAATTACCAAACTAAAAGCCTGGTGATGAATTTTGAGGTTCAATCTAAATTGTGTAGATCTACCCCTCCCCCCCCAAAAAGTGGCTGTGATGGCAATCATAACCTTAAGGCAAAACATATTCAATTCCCATACAAATAAATGAAAGCAATAAACTAGCATGTCTTTTCCCCCTCCAAAATTCATCACCAAATGTAGGGGCAAAGATCATAAACTTACTTCAATATTGGTCAACCCTATTTCTAGTAGCTAGTTCTAGAGACCAGCAAGTTCAATTGTGCCAACTTAGATCTTCATTCCAAATCTGTGTTGGTGACCAACATCTTATCCTCTTTTGCATTTGGGAAGTATTGAATAGCCTCCATTGCTATTCCAGAAGGGAGCTTGAGGAAGTTGAGAAGGCTTAATTTGACTAAGAGAATGCAACCAATTGATCTTCTTCACAGGATGAGGAAGGAATCGATGGGAACAATCATGGAACAAAGTAGCCATTCCCTGCCAAAATTTGACCCACTAAGGGCAACTTGGCCCTATGTATGTTCATCTAGGTTTTGCTGACTCGAAGCTTTTTCTTTGTTAGTTACAAGGCACACTTAAATTTGTGATTCAGGATATTGAAAAAAGCTGTCTATTTGTAGACACCATCATATCAGATTTACTTCACAGAAGTTAGCAATGTCATTTAACCACACTTTCCCTCTATTATTCTCATTTGAATGGAGTGGGATAAAACTAGGATTTTGGTTTGAAAAAGTGTTTTATCACTACCTTTCCCCAATTTGCTGCCACTCACATGGTTCAACATTATGATTCTACTTTTTAGGATAATTCTTTGATAACTGAGAGGGGGAATGTTAGCTGACCCATCTCAGCTTAGGGACAATCACCTCCATGCTAGTATCCACTTGGGGAGATGTAAGCAGACCAGAAAGGGAATTTCTCCATTGGCTCACATGGTTGGTTGCCATGTGGGCATAATATCTAGTGATTCATCAAAACCAACACATGTTGACACTTGGATAGAGTTCTGTGGGTGGATGCACCCACCACTAACTAGAAAAAAAATGTCTGAGCAACTTAAGAAAGTGAATCTGAGCACAACTTGCAAAGAAAGAAGGTGCTATGTTCTATTAGGTGAATATATTAATATGCACAGACAAAACAACATGAAAATGAGCTTAAACTGGAGGTAGACTTCAGCTAGAAAGTTGGCTCCAAATCCCACACCCTATACATGGAAAAGCACTCACAAGTGACAAGTGTGTGGGATTGGAGAATGATGAGCAACAAAAATCTAGGGATGAACACAAACCTTAGGCACTGGCAGTGTGAATGAGGAGTTGGGATTACCCCAGCAACTGCAGAGGGGTCTGATGACAACTTGGCACTACGATCAAACTTGTGACCCCTCTGGGTACACAATTTTTCTATACTGAGCCTGGCAACACAGGAAAGGATTAATGCAAGTTCAGAACACTAGCAGTTGTAGATAACAATGGGGGTGGGGGGAAGTCAGTTTATGGGGTTTTGGAGCAGAATCCGGGTCTGATCCAGTAGTGGGAGTGTTTGGCTTATTGAGAAGTTGACGGCTGCAAGTAAAGGAGGAAGGAAGTACATAATGAAGGCAAATGATGCTCCCATCCCCATAGAGCCCATGTTCTAATCCAGATGAAGGCAAAGCCTAGCATTAATAAATTATGGGGCCAGGAGACAAAAAAACCCCACCCCTGAGGGTTGGTACTGACTACACAAGAAGAGGGCTACTTCTACTATTGTTCTTCCTCTTTGCCACCACTGTAGGAGACGTGGTGGGGTGGGGGAGAGAAGAAGTTTGAAGTTTGAAGTTTCTGTTTCTCTTTGCCCAGCTGGCCATGAATTCTGCACATGCTTTGCCCCATCATGGTGGTGTTGCAGGACTTGGCAGAACTGGAGCAGAGAAGGAAGCAAAAGATGGCTCTGCTACTGCATGATCCTTGACCCTAACCAACATTGCATATATATATATATATACATAGACACACACTCACATGTGTGTATGTGCATATGCAGTGGAGTATTTGCAGAGTAATGATTGTGCAGAATGGGTTATTTCTTAAACAGTTTTATATACATGTTTGATGTACAAGACTCATATTTTATTTTAGTTTCTCGATTTTTTTAATAAGGCATGATGAGATGAAGGGCATTGTGCATGCTTGTGTTGCAGTCCAATCATATTGGATTACTAGTGAGTGAGCTGACAAGAGGCAGAGGTGTGAGTGTATAAAGCTACATAAACAGTGAGAAAGAAGATGGCATGGAGTTAGCCCTAACACTGGCTTGCCATGGTTTCATAGGTACATCTACCATGCAGAGAGAATGAGAGGGGTTATGCTGGGCCTACCCACATTGAAAATTCCATCATTAGAAATAAAAGAAACAAAAAAAAAAATGAAATCATTTAGTGCTAGTTTGGTAAAGGCCACAAGGAGTCAACTATAACACATCTCACAGGTGTTATATCACTTCCTTAATGATATGCATTCCTACTATTTGGTTTGTACCAACTCTTGACTTTGGTGCATTAAAACCATCAAATGATTCAATAAAATGTGCTTGTCAAATTTTTGTCTTTAACAATTGGTATAAAGTCCTGAGGCTCAGCCCAAAAATACACTTGTTTAATCTCATCCATGGAAAAAGTAACCTAAATCATTTAAAGATTTCAAGCAGGTTGCATGCCCTCATGTGAAACAGTCCCAAGTTTTTAGTTTATAATATATACATACATTTTTGTAATTTTATTTTTTGTATTATGCTAACTGGTATCAAAATGTGATGTTTTCCTAATTCATCATGAAATTGGGAACTTTCTCTGAAAGCATGACTATGTAGAAACGTAAGTGATGTAGGTGGCAAATTTTCTCATTATCAGTTTCAATTCATGTTTAAGAAAAGACCACACTCAGCAACACAGAACACATGTAAAATGTCTTCACAAACAATTCTAAATTGTAAAAGCTTCTCCCTTCCACTGTAAAGTTCAGAGCAGTTTTAGAACCTCGCCTGATTGGACTCCACGCTTGCTCCACTTCGTGTATTCTCCTCAACCCATTGATTCAAAAAACAAATAACAAAACAAAAATAGAGAGAGCGAGAAGAGAATCAGAATGGTTAATAAAGAGAAGAGAGAGAAGAAGAAATATAAATGGGGCCACGCTGCTGCAACACCAAAGCAGCAGCAGCGGTGGCTAGTCCGGAATTAGGCTGGAGCTAATTAAGTGCCGCAGGGCTCATCAAGTGAAGCCTCCCAGCGATGACGGCGCTGAAGGTTTGTGTCTCTTGCTGCCCGCTTCTGCCCGACCCTCCCTCGGGCATATCCCGGTCACCGCAGCATCGTGCCACAGGGACGACGGTGGGGTCCCGGCAGGGCTCGACCGACCCGCTCCCCTCCCTCCCTCCCTCACTCGCACAACCCGACCCGCGCCCCCGCTGCACCCCGCCCTCCCTCGTGGGTGGTGGTGGTGGGGATCGGCTGGGGCTGGTGGTGGCTGCTGCTGCTGCTGGTGGCTGGCTGGTGGTGGTGGCGCCGCAGCGACGAAGGAGGAAGAGGGCGAGCGCGAGCGTCCAGGCGCAGTCAGCAGCAGGGACAAGGAAGGAATGACCAGGAGGACCAGGAGGAGGAGGACTAGGAGCCAGCCAGCGAGCCCTTTTCTCTCTCATGATATGCTCGCGCAGGAAGGGAACAATCGCTGCCTGCCTGTCTGCCTCCGTCGTCGTCGTCGTCGTCCTTCGTTCTTAAACCCCGACGCCCCTCTCTCCTCTATTCACATCTCACTTCTATCGCCTCCTTTCGTCTTCTGCTTTGTCAGAGCTTCCTGTCTCTTGTGCTGCTTCTGCTGCTGCAAGTCCCGCGGTGCTTCCACTTCTATCTTCCTTAGAGAGAAACTGTCTCATCGCGGACCAAAAGCTCTTGTCGTCTTTCCTGTGGCGAGATATTGCCTCTCGTTGTGTAGAGATTGATCAGTGGGTTCAGTCACTACTTTTTTTTTCTCCTTTTGTCGACGGGATTTGAGTTAGCTGTGTTCTATTTCTTCAATCTGTAGAGTGCTTGCGGGTCGGGTCAGGTCGGGTCGTGTTGCTGCTCAGTGACGTTTCGAGAAAAGGTGTTTGAGAGAGGGCTTGGTTCGATAGATTTTGGGTGGGAATTGGTGGGGGATTTAAGGCATTGGTGCGTAGTATTTCTTTCGATTGTGTGCGGAGGTTTTGGAGATATAATATCTTCTGGAAGAGTGATCTACATTTTTTAGGGGTGAAAGGCGGAGTGTTGCACGGGCGTGGAGATTTCTGTGGTGGAATTGGAGGTGGCGGTCGGAGGCTTGCGGGATTGCGGTGCGCTGCTTCAGAACTTTCACGAGTGGAGGGTAGCGGTGCATTGGAGCTTTTTATTTTTATTTATTTTTATTTTTTAAAATATTTTAAAGCAGGGTAGTTGGTCGCATTCTAGCTATGGCACCCACAACAGCAGGTTGCTGCCAATTGTTGCAAGCGCCATCCCACGAGCCCATTGAGATGGAATCCGGAAGACGACGTCTCACTCTTGATAGCTGGGTTTGCTTGCCTATGCTTCGGCCAGTGCGGACGACTAGTAGCATTGCGGCGCAGTTGTCATCACCTGCTCCAAGTTCTTGCACGACACAGAAAGATTTGTCTCTTGCCAAGCCCATGACGTTGGACGTTTCCTTCATCGGGGTCGATGAAACGCTCTCACGGGAGTCTTGTTGCGAAACACCCAAATCGAAAGAGCACAGAATACCCGAAGTTGATGTTACCTTTTGCCCTCCAGCTCCAAGGAAGCCCCGTGCAATGGCTCGTCGTCGACGCATGCAGCCCACAAGTTTCTTCAACACGCTTGACTTCGAGAATTTTCTCTCCCAGCACAAAGTGCAAGTGAGCAGTTAGAAGGAGGCGAAATCTTCTCGAACGTTCACAAGGTGTTCTCCAGAGGTCTTCGAGTTTTATTCCTCTCCGGAGTGCTTGTACAGATGCTTGTGCGCGACGATCAACGTGTTGTCGAAATTTAACAGCCGACGCGGAAGCAAAGAAATGGAGAGACCTCTGGGATGACCGAATCAATGAGGCCATTGTCGCAATCAGCCTCAGGCTTCTTCCATTATTTTACGAACATTTCCTTCAGACGTGGAGCTCTTCCTCGGTGCAGCACATGACATTGGGTTCGTCCAGAGGATGTTCTATGAAAGTCCGGCTTCTGCTCGTACGCCGAAGTGCAATGGTTCATGCACTGTGTGTAAATAGCGGGCTTCGGGTGATGAGGGTCATGCTTTGTGTAGGATTTATTGTTGGCTCCAGAACCTCCACCGCGGGCAAGTAGGGAAATTTTGTTAGCCCGGAAGCGGGGGATGCTTTTTTCGCAATGTACTTTCCTCATCGAGAGAATGATGCGGCCATGCTTCTCAGTTTGGAGAGTAGGTCGAGAGATGACATGATGGTAGAAGTAAGAACGTGTGTCGTGATCTATTTGCTTTCACCTGCGCCTGTTCATCATGTGGGAGCGGGCGCAGGAAGCTGAGAGTCGGCCATGAGTGAGAGAAGTCCTTCGAGGCTGTGCTGCTGGGGTCTAGCCCGGCATAGCTCAACCCAGGATCATGTAATTTACAACTCCAACGTCAATCATCATGTTGTTTCTTTCTCTTTTCAAA